TGCTGAAATAGCGACAAATATTGTATTTATCACAAATCAGTCACTAATTATAATATTTTAGTAATGAAAATTAGAGACAAAAATCAATCTTTCACTGAATTTGAATATTTTGATAAAATAGTGACAGAGTTTCACTTATGTCGCTATCCCATCACTAATTGTTATATTTAGTGACAGATTTTCAGTCTATCACTTTTTTTCTATCACTAGTTCTAATTTTTTTATTAGTGAGCTTCAAAGGATAGCAAATCGAACAACGCGGTCATGGCAACACTCTCCATCATACCGGTGCTGCAATAGCTCGTGACCTCTTAAGTAGCACACCCACTTCTCCTCCCTCCCGTCCTATCCCTTTCCTCCTCCTCATTCATCCTCTTCATGGCCTTCCGTACTACCGTCTTCCTCATTGAAGGGCCACACTGTCAAACACTCTGGCGACATAGTATCATAAATGAACGTTGCAGCGTGTTAACGATGATAAGCGATGAGACTAAACCTTTGGGGAACCCATTTTAGTGCTCATCGTATAAATGGGTACTAAAACCTCATCACCTTTAAATTATTTAGATTTAGTTTTTAGGGTCAAGATTTACAGTTTTTTAATTATTTTTTAAATATATTTTTTGTGAAAAATTAACAGTTAAATGATTGTTTTTATTTTAGATTTTATATCTTTAAAATATTTTTTAAAAAATTAATTTAAAAGCTGTAAATTTAAACATTCAGATTAAATTTAAATAATTTATAAGTAATGAGCTCCTAATGCTCGTTTGTATGATGTGGTTCTATACATTTCATAAGGTTAGGAACGTAAATAATTTTAGATAATTGCAGATTCTAAGAAAAAAATTTGGCGGTAAAAGACTAAATGTAACCTTAATTCATCACTAATCACTAACTTTTTTCTAATTTCGTGTAAAAACTTACTGGTGTCTAGCAATCCAGAGAAGTGAAATATTAAATCCTAGGAATTTGGTTCCTCCCAGCGTCTATTTTTCTCAGCGTCCCTTAGCGTCTCAATTTCCCTTGAATCTGCATCCAATGTTCCATACTTTGCCACATCATCTTATATTAAAATAATTTAATTTTTTAAAAAAATAATTTTTTATTATATTTTTTATTTTCTATTTTGAAAACTTATTCTAAAAATTTATTTTACAGATTTTTGTAAAGAGACTTACAATCTGAATTATTTAAATTTGGCCTAATCTATTTAATAAAAATTTATTTAAAAAAACTTACAACAAATTTTGGCTTCACCTTGTTCTAAAAAAATTTTCTTTAAATTTTGTGGGTATATTTTTATTGAATAGGTTAAGCTAGAATTTAAAAAAGTTAGACTGTAAGTCTTCGTTTAGATAAGTCAAGCCAAAATTTGAATAAGTCAAACTATAGGCTTACTCTGTATATTTTTTTAACAAATTTTTATTAAATATGTCAAGCTTGAATTTAAATAAGTTGTACTGTAGGTTTTTATGTAAAAATATATAAAGTAATTTTTTTAAAATGAGTTTTGAAAAACGAAAATGAAAAAAAAATTAAAGAAAGAATTTTTTTTAAAATTAAATTATTTTGATATAGAATGACGTGGTAAAATATCAACTATTAGATATAGATTCAAGAGGCCAAGTTGAGACGTTGAGGGACATGGACGCTGAGGGGATCCAAATCCTGAATCCTAGGGGTGTGTGTTGCACGCTTGCTACCACTGCCATTGCCATACCAGGCCGTGGGGTGAACTCATTTCTTGTGGACACGTGTACGGTAGGAGGTGACTCACCATTTATCACATCGGGCCAAACGTACGTTAGAGATAAGCTGCTATCACCATAGGAACGGCTGCCTGCTTACGGTGGCCCACCTGGTGTGCTATGGTATGGCTTGGCGGCTTCTCCTTCAGTCCAGAATATTAAAATAATCTTCTGATAATTAATTAATTTTAAAACTATAAAATTGAATAATCCCAAACTCCCCATTTATCATGCCTCACTCAACTTTTCCAATTATAAACAAAATTGAATAGTCCCAATTTATCTTGCCTTCCTCAACTTTTTCAATTATAAATTTATAATAATTGTTATCAATAGTCAATTGTCCTAATCGAAACTTTAAATTTGATATTAACATTGACATAATCAGCATATGCATCAGTCTTTTCTCTTATCTAAAATGGTTAAATTTAAAAATAAATGGTTCTCTTGTAAACAAAACTTACTACGCCTTTTGGAGCATTTCTTAATGCCATTTTGGAGCATTCAATGGGTTGGAATCCTTGAAGGGGGGAAAATTAATCAGGAATATTTGCTTTTCTTCAACGACCTTGCTTTGTGCGTTGGAACACTTTATTTATTTTCTTTACTATTCAAATGACTGGGTTTTGCTTTGTCTTATGAGAATATTGATATAACAAAATGCCAATAAGTATTGACGTGGTATCATGCTGTATATTTATTCTGCAACGTTTGCTTTATATGATATTAAAGCGACAAAAATTAAATAATGACAATGTGATTGAATCATAAGATATACAACCTCCCTCAAATGACATCTCAAGCTCTCATCTAAATAGAAAAACACATCATTTTTTTTAAAAAAATGATAATAAAATTTTTAAAAATTATATGAATGACAATTTAGTTCTTTGAAATATCATAATTTCACTAAAATCTTTAAAAACGTTTCTGTCATTAATGAATTTATTTAAATGATCAAATTGCTCTTGTTGAAAATAAAAATTTTAATATTGCTACAAGTGTTGAAAATAAAAAAGTAATAATTGTAAATTTTGTTTAAATAATAATAAATTTTCTTCTTATATTCACAATAATATAACATCAAATCACAAGTTCACACGTCAAATTCCTAATATTGCTACAAGTGTTGAAAATAACAAGTAATCATTATAGGTTTTGTTTAAATAATCACAACTTAATTTCTTATATTCACAATAATGTAACAGCAAATTATAATTTTGCATGTCAAATTCATGATATTGCTACAAAAATAATTCAATCATTTACATAAATTTATTAATAATGATAGAAAAGCTCATAAGAATTTTAATAAAATTATGACATTTGAGAAATTTTATTATCATTTATATAACTTAAAAGGATTTTATTGTGAATTTTTTTTATTAAACAAGTTTTGACCCCGGCATTAAATGCAGAAAGAAGGAAAATTTTCCAAAATAAAGAAAAATGATTGCATCATCGATAAATTTGATCCAAAGTTTATGTATATAATAATGTACTTGAATAAAAAAAATAGAAAATAATATAATATATATTGATTTTTCACAAATAAAGATATTTATTCTTATTCCTTTAAATTAGGATTTTTAGTCAGGAAAATAACAATAAAATTATTTAAATTATGTAAATAATAATTTAATTTTTTAAAATGTCATAATATCAATAAATTTTTTTGGGACTTATTTATCAATAAATTTTTTTAAAAAAGATCAATTTATCCTTATTAAAAAACTGTGATTTCTTATTCAATTCTTGTAATTATTTAAAAAAAATTGTGATTCTTTAAATAAAAGTTATAAATAAAGTTTATTATTTTGAGAACTTATTTTTTAATAATAAAAATTATACATGAAAAATTATGATTTTTTATTCAATTTTTGTAATTTATAGAATAAAAATTGTTATTTCTTAAATAAAAGTTGTGATTTCTTATTCAATTCTTGTGATTTATAAAATAAAAATTGTGATTAGGTCTTATTATTTTTAATAAGAGTAAAATGATTTTTTTAAAAAAATTTATTGACAAAAATATCTCTAAAGACTTAATTAGTATTATAACATTTAAAGGATTAAATTATTATTTACATAATTTGAAGGAATTTTATGATTATTTTTTTTTTTTAGTCTTGGGAAATCACCAAAGGATCATTGAAGGCATTTTATATGAAAGATCATATTTTGATTTTTTACTTTACTCCTTTAATCCTTAACTGAAAATAAATTTTCATTGGAAAATGATTAAATTATTCTCAATGTTTAAAATAACAAGTACTTGCCTTGCACAAATGATAAGTTATTAAAATTTTAACAATAATTAATTTATGATTAACAACAACATATTCAAAATTTAATAAGTTTGAAAAATTAACAACGCAAATTTAATGAAATAAGTGTTTACCCTGCATAAACAACAAGTTATTCGAATTTTAATAATAATCAATTCATAATTTACAACAATGTAATTAGAATTTAACAAGATTGAAAATTGATAGTGCAAGTTTAATAGAAAAGTGTTGACCTTATTTAAATAACAAGCCATTTGAATTTTAATAACAATCAATTCATAATTGATAATAATACCTTTAAATTTTAACAAAATAAAAAAATTAACATCACATATTTAATAAAATAAGCATTTATCTTACATAAACAACAAGAGACAATAACTAATTATACCAACCAATTCTTATTTAATTATTTCTCATTCATCAAGGGTGGCAATTAAATCAATTTTGTAAAAAAATCATTTTCATCTAAGGACCAAAATCTTACCATAAAAAAACAGAATTAAAAATTTTCATCTTAATATAAAACAAAAAAAATTATATACAGATCTTATAAAAAAATTAATAAATACAAAATTTATTAATAACTGAATTAAGGCTGTTGGTATTTTTTTTTGAATAAAGGAACAACAAAAGACAAAGCAAAACAATAAACTAAAAGCAAATAAACAAAGACTAGAACAGTTACACTAGCCAGGCTCTAACTCCCGAAGCAGATTAACAGCTTCCAGGCCATTGACAAATTTTAATTCAGCGTTAATTAATCTTGAATAATTAATTTTATATGGGATTTCTACGTAATTCTCCCTACAAATACCTTCGGTATTTCTCAAGTGATATTTTCCCTTTAACTTGCTCGTTTAACTTCATCCCTTGATCGCATTTCACTGCGAAATGCTATGCTTCTGATTTCAATCACCGTTACCAGTAATCTCATTTCTCCCTCCCATCGCTTTTTTGGGTTCCTTACATGCACTTGCCCGATACTTCACACCTCGTCTGTTCCACTCACCCCTGACCCTTTGGTTTATTTATTTATTTGTGTGCCTGCTTTAATTAATGCAGTTTTCTTGGTGAAGACTTCAGATTATCTTTAGCTTCTTGGTGTTGCTTAGAGTAAGATTTTCTCTGTTAATTTATTCTCTAAAGGGTTACTTTGAGTATCTGAAACAACTGTATGTCTCCTCCTTTTGTGGTGGTATTTTTATGTATTATGTAGTTCTCTTGCCTTAACTTGCTTAAGGTTTGAGCTTCTATTTTTTATTTTTCTCTCAAAGGACTGACTGTGATTGTTCGTTCGTACTAGCATTGGCCAGCGCAATGGCTTCTTCTGCCTGTGTGAGCTTGAAAGCTAATCCTCATTTTGCGAAAACAAGAACAGACCTTCTTCTTCGTCAAGATAATGGGTTTTGGGGAGAAAGAATCAAGGGAAGCCTGAACGATAATATGTGCGTGAATCAGTTGGTAACGAGTTTGAAAACAGGGGAGAAAATGAAGAAGGCGAAACCAAGTGCTGTCTCAGCCGTTCTAACTTCAAATAATGCCCACGAATCCGTGGTAAGTTGAATTCAATTCTGGGTTTTTCTGCAACTGGCGTAGGAGATCACTTTTCATTTTTCAACATCCTCAATCGCCGGCAATTTCCTGAAATTTGTGTTTACTAATGATTGGTTTCAATTTTCAGAGCTGGGAAATGCCATCGGTTCTTACTCGAAGGGCTGACCCTAAAAATGTAGCTTCCATTATATTGGGAGGAGGTCCTGGGACTCATCTCTTTCCTCTCACCAAACGATCTGCAACACCAGCAGTAAGTGAATACATCCAAAGTTCATGATTTTTGTCTTGTTGACTGGCTATGAAGCATTGATACTAAGCAAACTGGATGTTCAATATAATTCAGTTATCGGGGAGAGCAATATGAAAGAGTGAGAATGATGTAAAAGGATACGATGACGTATGAAGATCATATTTTTTTTTTTCTTTTTGCTCATCATCTTTACTTTATCATGTACTATGTATTATCACTTTTGCGATTGCAAAAGCATCACATTTATATTGGACACAACGTGACCCTGTAAATTGTATCAAGGCGCTGCTTATTATGTCATATCATGGCGTCTAACTGTCTCCACTGTGTCATTTCGTGTCTTGGTGTATAAGCTTAATAATTTTTAAAAGATCATTCTTGCAAAAATATGGCATCCATTTCTAGGTCCCTCTTGGAGGATGTTACAGACTGATAGATATCCCGATGAGCAATTGCATCAACAGTGGCATCAACAAGATATTTGTTCTGACCCAGTTCAATTCTGCATCTCTGAACCGTCACATCGCCCGCACTTATTTGGGGAATGGCATCAACTTTGGGGATGGATTTGTGGAGGTATGTTATCACTGAAAGGGTCGGTTGGAGGGACACTGTTGAACTTAAAGGCCAATGGCCATCATTTAGTTTAGATGATTTGTAATGAAAGGAAATAATATCTGAGATCTTCAGTTCAAATAAAATGATCAATTATCCATGAGTCGTAGAATCTTCTAGTATATAATTAAGAGAAACTCCATTCTGTCTGCAGCGGAGATTGATAGGCAAATATAAGCCACTTAGGAAATTCTTGTATTTTTTGTAGTTCACATTTGCAAATTTCTATTCAGTGTTAAACAAGACAAACCCTTATGAGAACAGGTTCTAGCAGCCACTCAAACTCCAGGAGAAACAGGAAAGAAGTGGTTCCAAGGAACTGCAGATGCTGTGAGACAATTTACATGGGTTCTTGAGGTGGGCAAGGAATTTTGTATAACACTGCATGCACTTTTTATGTTTTTTCTTGACTTGAACCGCACGATAATAGGTTGAGTTTTGTAGGATGCCAAGAACACAAATATTGAGAATGTATTGATCTTGGCAGGGGATCATCTCTACCGAATGGATTACAAGGACCTTGTGCAGGTATGCAAAGCAATTATTTCCTAGAATAGTGCTACCCCTTGATTTCATCTTCAGTGAGTTTTCTGATCTATTTATAACAAATTAACAGAGTCATGTTGACACAAAGGCTGATATTACAATTTCTTGCGCTGCAGCAGGTGATAGGTATGCTGAATCTCTTATATTTGGTTCTTTTTTTTTTTTTTAAGGTTTTTGTGTGCATGTCTTTTATTTTCCATCTAATTGCTGCTCATGAACTTCAGCTGATAGCTAGCTTACTTTCTTTCTTTCTTTCTTTCTTTTTTAACTCTAAATTTTTGTTTCATTGAAAAGGAAAAACCTACAAAAGAGGTGAGGAGAGATTTCTGGATTCCTGAAAACATTAAAACAAGAAAATTCAAATTTCATTTTACCTAAGGTTCATTGTGAAATTACTGCTTTTCAGCCGTGCATCAGATTATGGATTGGTAAAAGTTGATGGAAGAGGCCGCATCATTCAATTTTCAGAGAAACCAAAGGGTGTTGATTTGAAAGAAATGGTAATTATTTTTTTTTAATTCTTTTCTGGATAGCTCTGATAAGGTTGGTCACTACAAAGAAGCTATTCATTTTCAGCATGGTCTTTGCCTTCTTTCTTCAAGCTAGGAGCCTGCTTATCCAAGTTTTGCATTATGGCTTATTAATATGTTTATGATCATAATATATATTTAGCTGGCTTCAATAAGCTGGGTTCTTCTTTTTCTGCAGCAAGTAAATACCCCTCTCATTGGGTTGTTACCCCAAGATGCGTCGAAGTCACCATATATTGCATCCATGGGGGTTTATGTATTCAAGACAGATGTTTTACTTGACCTCCTGAAATTTAGATGTCCGTCATCCAATGATTTCGGATCTGAAATTATTCCTGCTGCTGTGAAGGAACATAATGTCCAAGTAAGATTTTCTAATCTCCAATATGCTTATCTTCTTTCAAATGTTTCCATCCATTCTGGGAGGAATCTTATCTGCTACCTATGAGAAACTGATTCCACTAGCACTTAGCCCCATGGTTTGGGCAAATTTCTTATGCGAGATCACATAGCTAATCTTAATTTTTTGGAATCAGCCAAGCTTATTGCTCTGCGTTTGTTGCAACTACATTACTGTGCTCATGACAATAATAACAATACAAGCTCAATGTCTATTATTTTCACAGGCATTTTTCTTCAGAGACTACTGGGAAGACATTGGAACGATAAAGTCATTTTATGATGCTAATCTAGCTCTTACTGAAGAGGTGCGTTCAGGATAATCATGGTTGGCATTCAATTTTGCACCCTTCCTATTATGAGTACATGCATTCATGTTTTTCTTGCAAACTACAATTAAGATACATTGGCATCGCTTCTTTTGCAAATTCTGCAAGGCTGTTATCTTCTTTGTCCTATACTCATGCAGAATCCAAAGTTCAAATTTTATGATCCGAAGACGCCCATTTTCACATCCCCTCGATTCCTGCCACCAACAAAGATTGATAATTGCCAGGTATGACAATGTACCTTAAAGCATGTTTCTAAGTTCATGAGATGTCTTCTCATGTTTGGTTGTCTTGTAGATATTGGATGCAATTATCTCCCATGGATGTTTCCTGAGAGAATGTACAGTTCAACATTCCATTGTTGGTGAACGTTCGCGCCTGGATTATGGTGTTGAGCTTCTGGTAAACTGCCACAACTTTTTGACTCTTCACAGCACTGTCCGTTGGAAGATTCATCCCATCTAAAATCACCTTTTACAGGACACTGTAATGATGGGAGCTGATTATTACCAGACGGAATCTGAAATTGCATCTCTGCTAGCAGAGGGAGAAGTCCCAATTGGGATAGGAAGGAATACCAAAATTAGGTAATCTTACCCATTGTTGTTTCGTCCTCCTATTGACATCTGGCAGTATTAAGGAATTAACATTGTCAATTAAAATTCATGGAATCAATATCAATATATAATATAGTATCTATAAGAAGCTGCAAGATTCCTAAATCATGAATAATGCGACTCATTCCTCAAACTATGCGTGAGACATGGGAACTCACATCTAATTGCTTCTTAACTTGTTACTTTTGTTGAAGGAACTGTATAATTGACAAGAATGCAAAGATCGGGAAACATGTTGTTATCATGAACACAGATGTAAGCCAAGTTACCTGATCTCAGCCTCTTGCTTTTTGAGTCAACTCCATCAGTTAGATTTCTAGCTCTATGATCTTTACCAATTCGAAGGTTGATTGTTTGTAGGGAGTTCAAGAAGCAGATAGACCAGAAGATGGATTTTATATTCGCTCAGGAATCACAATCATAGTCGAGAAAGCAAGAATAGAAGATGGCAAGGTCATATAAGTAGTCTCTCACTATCGAGCACGAGTCTCTGAGGCAGGTTGCAAGAGTTGCTGGAAAAAACACGTTCTCATATGAGAAACACTCTAGTCTGTGGAGTAGGAAGGATCCGATGTGCTGAGTGCTACCTTCTACATTGAAGCCAGCAGAACCCTTTTCGCTATATGTAAAATAGAAGCTTCCGCAGCGCAAGTAGATATAGAATCAATGAGCCATGGAGATTCTAGTTCATGGCAACAGTATTTGTTTTTAGATAAGCTCTTGGAAGTCATGGGTGGTTCAATCTCCGTCTCTCAGCCTTTCCCTAAACCCCTTATTGCTCAAGTCATAGATATGGTGTGAAATAAAAGGAAAATGAGACATGATATCAGGGAATACTATAGATGATAAATGGATGTGCTATTTTTTGTCAAGCTGCTTTCTCGGTGTCTTGCTCACAACACATTGACAAGAAGCCAATTTTGCTTGTTTAAGTCGACCAAGGATAAGCGGATGATGCGCTATCACTATCCTCTTCAGTCTTCATGTACAGATCTAGAGTACCTTGGCCGGAGGATGTTACCTCTTTTGAAAGTTTTACCTCGCATTCTCACTTCTAGTAGACTTGGCTTGCGTTGGTGTATAAAAGAATCAATTAAAATCAGTCAAAGACTTAAAAAGAATCAATTAAAATGTTTATGAATAACTGTTCTTGATTTTTCATTGGCATATGATTTTAAGATTGCCAACACTTGTTTCAAGAAGAGAGATGAGTATTTCATCACTTACAAAAGTGGAGCCTCAAGGTCACAGATTGATTTTATTTTGGTTAGGAACACAGATAGAAAACTTTGTAAAAATTGTAAGGTGATCCCCGGAGATGCTGTAATGACACAGCATAGGGTCCTAGTCTTTGATGTGTGTATTATGAGTAAAATTCAAAAACGTCGACAAGTAGTAACACCAAGGATTAGGTGGTGGCAATTAAAAGGTGAGAAGCAAGATATTTTCAAGCGAAATCTTTTGGATAAAGGAATTTGGAAATCCCAGGGAAGTGCTAACATCATATGGGATGATATGGCTAAAAAGATACGGGAGGTTGCAAAAGTAGTTTTGGGAGAATCGAAAGGTTCTGGTCCGAGAGATAAGGAGTCTTGGTGGTGGAATAATAGTGTACAGGACAAAATCAAGTATAAGAAGAACTATTTTAAAGCCATACATTTGTGTAACAATGAGGAAAATTGGGAGAGGTACCGTATGGCTAAGAAGGAAACTAAGAGAGCTGTGGGTGAAGCTCGATCTAAAGCTTTTAAAGAATTTTATAAGAACCTTGAGACTGAGGAAGGAGAGCAAAATATTTATAAGATTGCCAAGAGTAGGGAAATAAAATCAAGAGATCTAGAACAGGTAAGGTGTATTAAGGATGAAGAAGGAAGAATTTTAGTTACAGATGATGAAATTAAAAATAGATAGGAGACTTACTTTTCTAAACTTTTCAATGATGGAGAGGATTCATCTAGTAACTTAGAGGATTTAGTAACTGGTGAACGAGAACAAAATTTGTCATTTTATCGAATAATACGTGATATGGAGGTAAAGGAAGCTCTTAAGAAAATGGCAAATGGTAGAGCCAACGGACCTGATTGTATATCTATCGAAGCGTGGAAATGTTTAGGTGAAGAAGGGGTGAGATGGTTAACTAAGTTATTTAATGTGATTTTACGGTCCAAGAAAATGCCTGATGAGTGGAGGAGAAGTACATTAATTCCTATTTATAAAAATAAAGGAGATATTCAAAATTGTACTAACTATAGAGGGATTAAACTTATGAGCCACACAATGAAATTATGGGAGAAAGTAATTGAGCACAGGTTGAGATTGGAGACAAGTATTTCTAAGAATCAATTTAGTTTTATGCCAGGTAGATCAACTACAGAGGCGATTTATCTACTAAGGGGATTAATGGAAAAGTATCGTTGTAAAGATAAAGATCTACACATGGTTTTTATTGATTTGGAAAAAGCTTATGACCGTATACCAAGAGAAGTGCTTTGGAAAGCGTTGGAAAAAAAGGAGTACGGATTGCTTATATTAAAGCCATATAAGATATGTATGAGGGGGTAAAAACTAGTATAAGAACGCCTAGTGGTCAAACAAAGGATTTTCCTATAAAGATTGGACTACATCAGGAATCATCTCTGAGTCCTTATTTGTTCAACTTGATTTTAAATGTTTTGACGGAACATATTCAAGAGGAAATCCCGAAATGTATGCTCTTTGCGGATGATATAGTTCTTATAGCAGAGACAAGAAAAAAGGTTAATTGCAAACTTAAGTTATGGAGGAGGACATTGGAGTCGAAAGGGTTTCGTCTGAGTAGAAGTAAGACGGAATATTTATATTGTAAATTTGGTAAAGGAATATTCGACAATAATTTGGAAGTGAAATTGGGAGATCAAATTATACCTCAAGTGGAAAAGTTTAGATATTTGGGAGCCATTATTCAAAATGATGGCGAAATCAGTGGAGATATTTCACATAGAATTCAAGCTGGGTGGTTTAATTGGAGAAAAGCTAAAGGAGTTATTTGCGACCGTAAGGTGCCTAATAAACTTAAAGGAAAGTTTTATCGCACTGCTATCAGACCGGCAATGTTATATAGTAGTGAATGCTGGGTTCTAACGGGATAGCAAGAGCATAAAGTTGGAGTAGCAGAGATGAGAATGTTACGATGGATGTGCGAACATACACGTAAAGATAAAATTCGAAATGAGCACGTACGCGAAAAAGTGAGGATGGCACCTATTGAGGAAAAAATGGTAGAAAATCGGTTGAGATGGTTTGGGCATATACAAAGAAGACTAAGGGAGGCACCAGTGAGAAGAGTGGAACATATAACTTTGAGTCCGATTAAGAGAGGTAGAGGAAGGCCTAAGAGAACACTCTTGAAAGTTGTTGAACGCGATCTCTTAATTAATAATATTCCTAAAAGCTTGATAAATGATAAAGCACAATGGCATCTTGCAATCCATGTAGCTGACCCCACCTAGTGGGATAAAGGCTTGTTGTTGTTGTTGTTGTTGTTTATGAATAACTGTTAGACCCGCATCTCTCCTCCCACCTTTTCCTAGCTTCTATTTAATTTGAAATGTTTAGATTAAATATTTAAATTTTCTTAATTTGTGTGTGTCCTTGTATAGAGGTTATGCTAATCTTCTCATTCCAATTTTATTGGATAAATATTTTAATTTCTATTTTAATTTTATATTTATTAAAAGGAAACTTATAAAAAGTTTAGTAAATATGATCAACAATTTGTGTAATTTAAATTTAATAGGAATGATTCAATTTTAATATTAAAATTATATGATTTTAATATTAAATTGATATTGTCTAGAGCATATTACATAGTCAATTTGTAAAAATTAAATTTTTTTTATTAAATCTAATCACTAATATGGAAACTTTAGATTTAAAATAAATAGTTCAAATTTAATATTAATTTTTTTTAGATAGTTCAAATTAAATATTAAATTTTTAAAAAATTAATATTAGATTTAGATCATTCATTTTAAATCTAAACTATCTAGATTCACTAATGTAAGGACTCCTTCAAGTGGAGGGAGTCCAACTTCAAAACTTTAACACGCATTTATTTAGTTATGAGAAATTTATCATTAGTTTTTAATATCTTAAAAGAGATAATCTATGATATTTCCAAAGTCAACACCAAAAAAAATAATTTATGAATAAAATGTACAATGTTATCAAATATTAAATGATATAAAAATATTATATGATTAAGACACACATATAAAAGGATTTTGATCTTGTGAATGATTTAAATTTATTCATTCAATAAATGTCTCACATAGTATGATAATAATAATTTAATTTAATTGAATCAAACATTTTATTATACAATATTGTATCAAATTTTAAGTTTTTGGAAGGAAAATCTGTTAAGATTATTTTGATTGTGAAAATTGTTTTAATTTTTTTAGAAAATATATTTAAATAATTTTTAAATATTGATAAAATCAAACAACAGTAATTGAAATGTTCATTATGTGATATCCTGATAAAGGCAAATTGATCATGGGACTACAAAAGGAAAGGAAAATTATTAAAAGGAATCTTGTTAGTTTCGCTGTTTTTTTTTTTTTTTTTTTTTGGGGGGACCAATTTCTTTGTTTGTCTGTTAGATCTTAGCTGGAACGGTCAATTTTTACGAAGGAGAGACCAAACAAAATAGAAAAAGAAAAAGAAAAACAATTTACCGAGAAATTGACATCTCCTTGAGTCCTTGTAGATCTGCTCATTTTCCGGTTCCTCCATCAGTTCTCTTCGTTCCCGAGCTTCAACGCTCTTCGCAGTTGCAGGTCAACTCCTATTCTTTACTATTGTCCTATTTCCTTCCTGATTCTGTACCTATTTCTCTTCCAATTCAATCATTCTGTTGCTTTCTGGGGAAAGTTAGGGTTCCCAAGATGGAAACTTAAATGGGGAAATAAATTTTCGCAGATCTTAATTTCAGACAATTTATTAAGTTCTTTCGTTAATTACAGCTGATTAGTTTCGCTTTCTCGTCCTGCCCAAAGCATAATAGGATCGGATATGTTAAATTTCATTGGTGTGAGTTATGCCACAAAAGGGCTTTCTTTGATTTTTTATTCTTGAACTTTACTATTCTCGAGGGCATGTTTGTATGTTATTGAGTATGGGCTCTAATGCACATTAACTCGAATCCTTTATCAGCAAGTTGTGAATTGAATGGAGGGAACTGGAGGCGGCAGTGCTGCGGCTGCTGCGCCTGTGAACCAATGGTGGCAAGACTTGTCCAAGATCTTTCAATATTATCTGGATAAATCTACACCGCATGCTACCTATAGATGGATTGGAACTTTGGTTTTGGCATCAGTCTATGCTTTGAGGGTATTTTATGTCCAAGGGTTTTACATTGTATCTTATGGGCTGGGAATCTACCTGCTGAATCTGTTGATTGGATTTCTCACCCCTTTGGTTGATCCAGAGCTGGAACCTTCTGATGGACCTATGCTGCCGACAAAAGGTTCTGATGAGTTCAAGCCATTCATTCGTCGGCTTCCTGAATTTAAGTTCTGGTAATTTGGGGCATTTTATTTTCAACTTTACCCTGCTAGTTAACGCATTTGCTTCACTGTCATGATTGCTGAGGGATTCATTTTAACCTTTCTGGCTGACAATCAGTGTCCCTCTTTTAGAGAGCTTTGATAAAGCTATTTGGGGTTAATAATTTTCAGTTGCTGCTTCAGTGCCTGTCTTCCTGGTAATTAGTCTTCTAAATATGTGGAGTTTGATATGTTATGATTGTAGAGATTTTTTTTTTTTTTTTGGGGGGGGGGGAAGCATTTTCCCAATGGAGATAATGATGTAATACGTATGGTAGGAATGTTGGGACATTATTAACGAGACCTATTCATGTGTATCCTTTCTATTTGGTCAAATAGATAATGTGATTTTGGGGATTGAACCGCTAAATTTCTTGCCTATTTCTCATGGAAAACAGTTTGGTGGAAACCTTGCAGATGGATGACGCTCTTTTTATTTTGGTTACAGGTATTCTATCACAAAGGCTTTCTGCATAGCATTTGTCATGACCTTCCTTTCCATTTTTGATGTTCCTGTCTTTTGGCCTATATTGCTCTGTTACTGGATTGTTCTCTTTGCCCTCACAATGAGGCGCCAAATTGCACACATGATCAAGTACAAATACATCCCGTTCAACCTTGGAAAGCAGGTTCAGCTCCCAGTGCTTAAAATTCTTTTGCACTCTTTGCTTGTGCTGATGTTCCGTATCATTTTATTTGTTATGACATAAAGTCTAGCACAGGCAAGCTTTTCTTCCTTTATGTCCTGTGCTTAAGATAAACTCCATTTCTTTTTAATCTTTTGCAGAAATATGGTGGTAAGAAATCTTCTGCAAGTGGCAGTGGCACACGTGCAGAATGAAGCTTTGCCTTTTGAAACAATACAGACTTTCTGAATAGGTGAAAAGAAATGTAGGTTGGTAGTTGAACTTTCACCCTTATTTGAAGTAATATGTACTCAATGTATCATGGATGCCAATGTCTGGAAGAAAATTCAATAGTTTGCATTTGTTTTTGTGTTGCCAGAAGAATATGCTAATGTTGTCGGTGAATTTCACTGTAAGACGCATCGGTATGTTATCCAGTTTTCGATATGACAGCAAATGTCAATGCGTTTTTTTCCCCGTCACTTGCCTTCTGGTACACTTTTATGACATGCTTCATTGGTTTCTTTCTAGCCACAAATTCGTGTCTACGTCTAACCTCCATTTCACTTTTCTGCTTTGTTCCCCACACTGACGATCTGACTCTGATAACTTTGTGTAATATATCTCCACTATTTTATATTTTTTAGTACTGCAATGAAAGCAAGGTGTTCTATTAAGGCGCCTTGTTCCTTTTTTTTTTTTTTTTGGCTGCGGCAGCATCATAATCAATATTAATATATCCGTATCGATATCAATAATATATACATAAATTACTGAAAATCATACTATTGATAAAAAGCTATGAATAATGTGGCCCCTAATTGGCAAAGAGCTCAAAATCTGGTTAAGCTTGCAAGTACAGGTAATTAGAAGGGAGAGAATAAATTTCATATGTGATCTCGTGCCTGGTGTCTCTCTCATTTCAAATAGTTTGTTTTCATTTCAGTTTATGCCAGTCACAATTTCTTTGCGTTTACCTTGGAGCAATGATGCGGCTCTGCGTTTTAATTTAAAATTTTTAAATGATAAAATTATTTTTTATTTACCTTTGAAACTTATATATTAACTTATATATTTAACCTTGTGTCTTCAATGTACAGTTCTCTAATAAATTGTTGATACGTGGATTTTTTTTTTTTTACCAACTCATCGATTTTTTTCTATCAAATTTGATTCACCTTTCCACTTCCCTAATTTGTGTGTATGTGTATAATGATAATAAATATAATGCCATTAAACATACAAACAATTTTATAGCACAACAAAATCAATGTAGAAAAATGGAAACAAAGGAAAAAGATCTAAATAATTCTATAACAAGCTCTGGTTTAAAATTTAGCTCCGTAACAAGGTCAGACTTCTATAACAATTTTAAAAGAAATTTTAATTTTAATTTTAATTTTTCTTCATCCAAGCAACTGCATCAATAAACAGGGAGCAACATATTTGGATTCAAAACTTGAAGCTCCCATCTAAATTAATTGCAACTGCAATTAGTTGGCATAATCAAGAGACCAAGAAGAGTTATTTAAGAATCACGAATGATTACGTATCTTTGAAGTTATTGAAATGATTAAATGATTATACGAGCTCAGCGTTTCACTCAATCTGAACTATTTTTATGGGTGGCAAACTTTGACAGTAAGCCAAGAAGTTTAATATTACAATAAATGGTTTGAATGAGAACGTGAATTTTAGTGGTGAAACAAAGATACTACTCACATCTTGTAGCATATGGGATGAGAGGACTCGACCCCCCTCCACTAAGGGAAGCCTTCTCTGCAAGGAAGCTGAGTTCAGGATGAGAATAGTTTTGATGAGTCTAGAAAGGTGGCATATTGATGTAATAAATGCATTTCAAGATTATCCTTACATACTTGTATTATTTTCTGTTTTTGTTTAGATTGTACCCACACACAGTTTACTTGACAATCCTCTCACAGAAATGCTAGTTGCACTTCCAGCCAATTCTATCACAGCATTTGATTTGCCTTTATCTTCGTCAAAAGCTATTTATTTGTAAATCATTGAGGAGGAATTCATATTATTACTTCTATTTATTTAGTAATAAATAATAATTGTTTATACATGATTTTTCCATTGCCAATTTGCTCTTATAATCGTTTATCCACCTTTATGAAAACATCTTTAAAACGATCCTAGTTCATTTAGACAATTTAAAGCTTTGGTAAAAAATGTTGAAGTAAAAAGTTGATTAAAATTAATTAAATTGGTGCTTCTCTACTTTTGAAAACATCAGACATATTATAACTATATGTGAAAATTTGGGAGAGGTAGCTTATTCAACCTTGGTCCAAACTTTATAAAAAGCTCAAATGGTCAATCTCGACCTAAATCTCTTAAGGTTTCAAGCTGACTGGATGCCCAAATTGTCAATTTTTTAAAGTTAATAATTTAATTTTTTTACTTTAAAATTAATTATTTTATTTTATAAAAATATAAAATATATTTTTGGAATATTTAAATGATGTAGAAGACTCAAATTTTTTTTAAGAAAATATGTGAGTCTTAAAATTTAAAAACCAATATTAAAATATATTTTAAATATTATTTTGAGATGTTTTATAGGTTAAAAATAATAAAATTATGACACTATAAATATTTTTTATTTTTTTAAAATATCTATAACAATTTACTCCAATAGATGGTATATTAGCATAAAATGACTTAAAATTTAAAAATTCATTAATATTTAATACGTTCTATATTTTTTAAATGAATTTTTTTTAAGTATGGCTCAAATAGGTCCAAACATTTAAAAAGGATAATTTAACCAAGTTCAGCCCTAAATTTTTTTAGTTTGACCCAAATTACTAACTCTAATTATAATATATCAAAATCCTAAATGATGCTTTATAAATTTTGACATGTTTAATACTTAAACAATGTTATTTTTGACCATCTTTAGTATTGGCTACTCTTTAATGAAAGATATTTTTAATATTTTAAGATGTTATTAATGTATTTTTTTAAATGCTCTTAATAAATGAATCATTTTATATTTATTTTTAAGTGAAATGTCCTATTAAATAAGAGTAAATATGAAAAGATAGTATTAATTTAAAAACAGTTAATTAATTTATTGGGAGTGATATTCAATTAAAAATACTTTATATTTTTAAATAAATCAAGGATAACTTAATAAATAAAGGTATGTAGTTGATCAATACTTATCCTTTCTCATGCCACCTTTCGAAAAGAAGTTGGGATTAGATTTTAGTTCTGTGTACCTCCCGTCTCATTTGGGATCAACATGGGACGAAAAATTCTAACCATAGAGATACAAAGAAGGCTTGATTATTTATCAAAGAACATCATGTTAAATAACTAGTCTAACTTTGGTTATGCATATGAAAAATATAAAATATTTAACTACCTTGATAACATCCATCTCCTATACATAACAACTTATACGACCACACGCTCAATCAATTGTTGAATCAATCACTTTGCTAAGTAATTGGAAGACCCAATTGTGTTTTGGGAAAATGACAATTAAAAATTTCATAAGATTATTAATTACAATTAGGAATTTTGAATTATTGAAATTCTAATAATGAACCATGGTCCTTACTTAAAATTAAAAGCATATATGAGTTTATAGAATTGCTCTCACTTGGAAAGTTAAAAAAAAAAACCCCATTGAAATTACTATGATGTGTTGGGCTATTATTAATTTTAGTTGAAACAACTAGGGCCCACGTTTGGGAAGGAGCTGTTTGTTAGTATGAAACTAAAATTCACCTGTAAAACTTTCAAAAGACACTTATGAATATATATAAGTTATGTGAAAATTTATCAAAGTCAGATCTGAATATAAAATCAATCATTTATGAATTTTTATACTTGTTAAGATATAAATAAAACCATTTAGAAAATTAAGAAAATACACCATTGAAATTACTATCACAGGTAGAGATTATTATTAGTCTCACTTGCGAAAATTAGGATCCTAAGTATTATGGGTTAGAACTATTGAAATTATAATTATGGATTGAAACCATTATTTAGAAGTGAGCATCGGTTATAATGATTTGGTTCAGTTGTGATTAAAGAAAATTAACAAACCAAAATTTATCAATTTTTAAATCGAACCGAAGTTTAATGGTTTTGGTTTGATTATCGAGCTTGTTTTTGTCAACACTTTGGGCTTGTTTTTGTCAAGATATTGGGCTTATCTCCAAAAAAAATATTGATTAAGAAATAATTTAAAACACCAAATCCCCTCAACTAAAGTGGGGGAAAAACAATCAAGATATTATTAAACCCTGTAAAATTTGAAAACCTCAAAAAACTATAAATTTAACATAATAAATATATAAAGTTCTTCGTGAGGAAAACAAAAGAGATCTCTAAAAACAACAACTTGAACATTGTACAACATAAAAAAACATACCAAAATAAACTAATCAAATTCAATCATTCAAATCTACACCTATAAGGAAAAGGAGTAGAGCAAAAAACATATGAGTTCCACATGTAATTTACAAATTCATAATTTACCTAATGTAAATTCTTAACAATCTAAAATAACCCATCACATAACAATAATAATCCCTTAAAAAACTACAAATAAGTTCAAGAGTTTTAACATAATCCAAAGTAACTAATCCATTAGATCATCACAAAATATTAAGAAAAATAACAAAAGCTAATCAATTCATTACAATTTGCAAGTTGCCAGCTGCCAAGGACATAAAGTCTTTGCTCGAGCCTACATTATGAAAGAAAATGGTTAAATTGAACATCTAGCCAAAATATTGCAGAACTAAAAAAAATGAACAAGCTTATTACAAAATTAACCATAAAAAAAACAACAAGAACCAACAGTCTAACAAAAGTTAGAAAACTAACAAAAGTAACAACAAAACAAAGATCACAACTAACTAAACTAATTGCCATAGACAACAATAATGAAAAGTTATCTTGAAGAGTTCACATTATATTCATTGCTGATTCTAATCCAATTCTTTAAAAATCTGCAAATAAATCAATTTAGAAGTTAAATTAAATCATAAAAATGAATTTTAAAGGTAACAGAAAACATACATAACATTATAAAATTTTTACCTCTCTTAATCCTTTGAATATCATCTAATTTCTCTTCTACAACCACAAGAATGGAGTGATGAAGCCAATTTTAGCCTAAATAAGGGCTTACACAACTTTAGGAATTAAAGAACTCTTAAATGCATCCAAAACACATCCTCTAATGCTAAATGTAGACTCTAAAGCAACTCTGGATATTGGTATTGTCAAAACATCACTTGCCAACCTTGGAAGAATAAAAAATCTAGGACCATTCAACATTTACTAGCCTAAAATATCAAAGTTAGGTTTATCCATTTCAATTTTCTCACTCAAATATTTATTAACTTTAGTCCTATTTACTTAAAAATTTTCTTTTTTCTGACTCAAGTTACTTTCTAACCTTCACAGTAGGGTCATCTTTATCACCAAA